AATAAAATATTTATTTATATTTATTTATTTATATTTATTTATATTTATTTATTTATATTTATTTATATTTATTTATATTTATTTATATTATATTTTTCTTCTTTATTATTTTATTTAGTTAAGAATTCTCTCAGTGTAAACCCTAAACCCTAAACCCTTAATCTCTACAAACCCTAAACCCTAAACCCTAAACCCTAAACCCTAAACCCTAAGCCCTAGGAGGGGAGGAATGGTTGTATAAGAAAAAGTTAATAAATTATTTATATATAAAAAAGAAGAAAATAAATAAATATAATTTATTATTATTTTTTTCTTTATACCCTAAAACCCTAAACCCTAAACCCTAATCGCTGCATGCAGCTGCAGATCTGCAGCAGCAGCAGGTCGAGCAGCAGCAGCAGCAGCAGCAGCAGCGGTCTGTATGTGTAAGACTGTTGTATTTTTTATGTTTTTTTTTCTTTCTTTTTTCCTTTTTAGGTGTCTATTTAATTAGTCTTTTTACTGCATATTTATTATTTCTTTGCTGCTCCTCTCCCTGCAGCACAGCAGCAGCAGCAGCAGCAACAACAGCAGCAGCAGCAGCAGGAGCAGCAGGAGTGGGAGCAGCACAGCTTCAGCAGCAGGAGGAGGAGGAGTTGCAGCAGCAGGAGCAGCAGAAGGAGTAGTAGTATAAATAAGAAAAGAGTATAGAATAATAATAATGGCATTAAGTGTGCAGCAGCAGCAGCAGCTGCTGCAGCAGATACAGCAGCAAATGCAGCAAGGAACAGCAGATGTAGATAGCTGCAGCAGCAAATTAATGCAGCTAAAGTTGCTGCGTGCTGCTGCTGCTGCTGCACTAACAGAGACACTTACTGCAGCACAAATAGAGGAAGCAATCTTAGCTCGTACAACCTTCGAGACAGCAGCAATGTTATGTGTATATAAACTGCAGCAGCAGCAGCAGCAGCAGCAGCAGCAGCAGCAGCAGCAGCAGCAGCAGCAGCAAGAGGACGAATTCCTTGAGGATATGATGACGGAGACAGCAGCAGCATTCCAGAGACACATGAATATGTTGCTTCCTTATTACTGTGATCTAGCACACGTAAGTCTGCTGCTGCTGCTGCTGCTGCTGCTGCTGTTGCTGCTGCTGCTGCTGCTGTTGCTGCTGCTGTTGCTGTTGCTGCAGTTGGAGGGGAGCAGCAGCAACAGCAGCAGCAAGTGCATGCATGTATGTATTAATATATCTATATTGTTGTGTTTGTGTCTCCTTTACGATTATACTCTATACGCTACTATTGCTGCTATTGTTGCTGCTGCTGTTGCTGCTGCTGCTGCTGCTGCTGCTGCAGGTCCTACCCCCGTCACCAATGCAGCAAGAGTTGCAGTGTCTGCAGTTGCTGCACTACTTAGCTGGAGATTGTATAGCAGAATTACATACTGCTTATGATAGATTACCTGAGGAGGTCAGCTCCTGCTGCTGCTGCTGCTGCTGCTGCTGCTGCTGCTGCTGCTGCTGCTGATGTTGGTGGTGCTGTTGCACTGCATGCATTCGCTGCTCCTGCTGCTGTACATCACTACAGAGCTGTTACTGCTGTTGCAATGGCAGCAGCAGCAGCAGCTGCTGCTGCTGCTGCTATCCTCTACCCCTCCCTAAACCCTAAACCCTAATTAGACCCTAGTATATAAGAAGAGAGGTGTCTCCCCTCCCTAAACCCTAAACCCTAAACCCTAAACCCTAATATGCATGCGCATGCAGATACAAAGAAGTCCTTATATAGTAACAGTAATGAGACTAGAGCAGCAGCTAATGTCTGGTGACTACGAGGCAGTAATGAAGCAGCAGCAGCAGCAACTGCAGCAGCAGCAGCAGCAACAGCAGCAACAGCAGCAACAACAGCAGCAAGTGTGTCTACCTAGATCTGCTGCTGTCTTCTTATCCCAATTAACAAAGACAGTGCAGCAGCAAATAGCAGCAACACTAGAGGCAGCATATGATTCCCTATCTGTTGCTGCTGCTGCTGCTGCACTTAATCTAAGTGTCTCCTCTTTTTATTTATTTATTAATGAATATAATAAAAAAAAGAGACACAAGCAGCAGCAACAGCAGCAGCAGCAGCAACTGCAGCAGCAACCATCATTTCAATTTGCTGCTGCAGCAGCAGCAGCAGAAGATCCATTAGGAATAAACACCAATAAACAACATCATCGTCATCACCATCAGCAGCAGCAGCAGCAGCAGCAGCAGCAACAGCAGCAGCAACACCACCAACTGCAGCAGCAACTATCTGTTAGTACACTAGCAGCAGGAGTAGGGTCTGGATCTTTTGCTGCTGCTGTGTCTCTTGAGCGCAGTGTCTCCTCAGTGGTCCATTGGTCCATTGAAGGAGACAGGGTATATTTTAGGAAGCAGCAGCAGCAGCAGCAGCAGCAGCAACATTGCTCCTTTCATGCTACACAAGTCGCTTCTCATCTTATAGGTATGCTTATGTTGCTGCTGCTGCTGCTGCTGCTGCTGCTGCTGCTGCTGCTGCTGATGCTACTCTTGTTGTCTTGGTTGTTGTTGCTGCTGCTGTTTATCCTACTGCTGCTCCTGCTGTTTTATCCTGCTGCTGTTGCTGCTGCTGCTGCTGCTGCTGCTGCTGCTGCTGCTTCGCAGGTTACGCCACGGAACTCGAGCGCATTGTTTAATTTTACACATACAAGCAGCAGCAGCAGCTGCTGCTGCTGCTCCTGCTGCTGCTGCTGACACTGCAGCAGCAACTTGCACCAGCAGCACCACTAGCCATTGCTGCTGACGCTGTTGCTAATACTGCAGCAGCAGCAGCAACAGCAGCAGCAGCAGCAGGGCGTGTTGTATTGCTGCCCGCAGTTACACCTTGTATTAGACTTTAGCCCTGCGGTGTAGAGTCCCAATAAAGCCCCAAAACTGCTGCTGCATGCATGCAACTGCATGCACTGCTGCATGCATGTAGCAGTGCATGCATTTTGGGGCTGGCTATTCGCCGCAGCGCATGCAGAGGGCTTTGTGTACTGTTTAGACAAAATAACAAACAAAAAGAGGAGGAAAGAGACAAATAAATAAATAAATAAATAAATAAATAAATAAATAAATAAATAAAATAAGTAAATAAATAAATATATTTAATTTATATAAATATATATATATATACATAATATATAAATATAATATATATGTAGATAAATATACGCATTTAACAATAATAATATAAATAAATAAAATAAATAAATAAATAGATAAAATCAATAAATAGATAAAATAAATAAATAAATAAATAAAATAAATAAATAAATAAATAAATAAAATAAATAAATAAATAAATAAAATAAATAAATAAATAAATAAATAAGAGGCAACAAATACTAAAAGGCAGAGGAGACAAAAATGCCAGTTGCGCGATTGTTACTAAACATGCTGCTGCTGCTGCTCCTGCTGCTGCTCCTGCTGCTGCTGCAACTGCAGCAGCAGCTGCTGCTGGTACTGTAGCAAACAAATTTAATTCCGGCTGTCATCCCTCGTAGCAAAGACAACTGCTGCTGCTGCTGCTGCTGCTGCTGCAGCTATAAGAACCCGCGGGAGCAAAAAGGCAGCAGCAGTAGCAGCAGCAGCAAAAAATAGCTGCTGCAGCACGTACAAAAGCACCTCCAGCGGAAGCAGGTGCAGCACGAGGAGCAGCAGAGGCAGCAGCAGCAACGTTACAGATGCACCTCAGCAGACACACAGTGCTGCTGCTGCTGCTGCAGCAGCAGCAGCAGCTGCTGCTGCTGCTGCATTTAACAGGCGTGATGCCAGTCTACTTTCTTTACAAGTGCAGCAGCAGCAGCAGCAGGAACTGCTGCAGTTACTGTACACAAACAGCAGCAGCAACTGCTGCTGCAACTGGTGCAGCAACAGCTGCTGAGCTGCCTATAAGGTTCTCTTAAGAGAACAATGCATGCATGCATGCATGCTGCTGCTGCTGCCGCTGCAGTTGTTTCCCTCGCATAATAATATTGAGGTGTACGTACACCTCAGTAATCCCTTATAATTAATATTCGCCCTTTGCTGCTCTTGAGCAGCTCCCTTGTCTCCCTGCTGCTGCTGCTGCAGCAGCTGCTGCTGCTGTTGGTGATGCAACGGGGGACGCAGCAGACGTAGCAGGAACAGGTCCTGCTGCGCATGCAGCAGCAGCTGCTGCTCCTGCTGCAGCGGCACGTGCAACATGCGAGAAGCCGCTTGCTTTTGGTGTCTGTACACTGTGGCTACGAAGAAGGGCAGCCCGGCGATGGAGCTGCTGCTGCTGCTGCTGCTGCACGTGCTGCTGCTGCAGCTGCAAGGAACGGGGAGTCCTTGCACTGCATGCAGCAGCAGCAGAAGCAGAAGCAGCAACTGCAGCAGCAGCAGCACTGCTGCCAAAAGAAGATGCTGCCAAGGGAGATCTCCTTGGAGATGCAACAGAAGACACGTCTCTAGCTGCTGCTGCTGCTGCTGCTGCTGCTGCTGCTGTCCTTGCATGTGTAGGGGAGACAGCAGCAGCAGCAGCAACCGGAGTCCCTCCCCTCCTCGATGCGCCGGACAAAGGAGAGACAGAGGCATGCCGACTTCTGCTTGCCGCAGTTGCTGCTGCTGCTGCTGCAGCAGCAGCAGCAGCAATTCGAGAAGCTGTAGTCGGACGCGGTGATGGTGCTGCTGCTGCTGCTGTTGCACGGCGTCCAAGGAGCACAGCAGCAACGCGCTGCTGCTGTGTCTCCCTAGCAGCTGCTGCTGCTCCTTCCCCACGCGGAGTAGTATTAGCAGCAGCAGCAGCAGCATTTGCTGCTCCTGCTGCTGCTGCTGCTGTCGGAGAAGGACGCACGGAAACAGTTGCCTTTAACGCAGCCCTTGTTAGGGGCCGTCCCCTTAGCTGCTGCTGCTGCTGCTGCTGCTGCTGCTGCTGCGGTGCTGCAGCAGGAGCAGCAACTGTTCCTGCTCTTGCTGCTGGAGTTGCAGCAAATGGTCCTGCTGCTGCTGCTGCTGCAGGCAGCACGCGGCTGCAGGGGGTTCTTCCAGCACTGCGAGGTGTTGCTGCTGCTGCTGCTGCCACTGCAGCAGCAGCAGCAGCAGTAGCAGCACGCCGTTTGTGCAGCGGCACAACGCGATTTGCTGCTGTAGGTGATGAAGGGCCAATAGCAGCAGCATTTGCTGCTGCTGCTGTTGTCGTTGCTGCTGCTGCAGCAGCAGCAGGCCGTACTTGTTGTGTTGCAGATGTATGCTTCGGGCTGCAGCTAGTAGGACGACTCGGCTTGCTGCTGCTGCGCTGCAGCAGACGGCTTACTCCTGCTGCTGTTGCAGCAGCAGCAGCGGCAACTAACCGCACAGCTCCAGGCCTTCTAGGCTGCTGCTGCTGCTGTGGCTGCTGCTGCTGCTGCGGCTGCGGCTGTTGCTGCTGCTGCTGTTGCAGCTTCTCTTGCGCTTCCTGTTGCCGATACCTTTCGGCAGCAGCATTTGCTGCTGCTGCTGCCGCTGCTGCTGCAGTTGCTGCTGCTGCTGCTGCTGCTGCCTGTGGCAGCACAGGAGGGAGGCTGCTGTCGCTGCGCGAGCAGACAGCATTATCTAGGAGACACTGCAACGGATGCAGCGGGCTGCCAGGGGGAACCTCAATAAGATCTCCTGCTGCTGTTGCTGCTGCTGTTGCTGCTGCTGCTGTTGCTGCTGTTGTGTCTGTATCATCACGACAAACGTGCGGTGAATCTGGTACACCTGCTGCTGCTGCTGCTGCTTCTGCTGCTGCAGCAGATTTATGCAGACAGCAGCAGCGCTTCTGAATACCCGGAGATCCCCTTTGTGTCTCTCCAAGCAAAAGAGCTTCTGCTGTCCCTTCTTGCTGCTGCTGCTGCTGCTGCAGTTGCTGCAGCTGCTGCTGTTGCTGCTGTATATACCGTGGGGGAGTCCCGCTATTGCTGCAGCACCTGCTGCGTTTGTTGCTGCTACAGTTACTGCACGAGGCACTGCTGCAGCGGGAGCAGCTGCAAGAGGCAATCTTCCTCTTTTGCTGCTGCTGCTGCTGCTGCTGCTGCACGGGTGTGTGGCAGCGCATGCATCCTGTGGGTCTATCCATACATCTCCCTCTTATAGGTGTGTTACTATTGCTGCTACTTCTGCTGCTACAGTTACCACAACTGCAACAGCTGCAGCAGCAGTTGCTGCTGCTGCTGCTGCTGCTGTTGCTGCTCTCTGCTGCAGCAACAGCAGCTAATTGAGTCCTTGCTATTTTCTTTGCATCTTCTGTAAACGTAAACTCCATCATGGCGGTAAATTCAGGTAATGTAAGAGGAGGCGTACCTCCATTTGCTGCTGCTGCTGCTGCAGCTGCTGCTGCTGCTGCTGCTGTTGTTGCTGGTGTTTGTTGTGCTTCAGTAGCAGCTGCTGCTGCAGCTGCAGCAGCAGCTGCTGCTGTTGTTTGAGGTGTCTGCGGTGTCGCGCTGCTGCTGTACGCGCGGGCACGAAGAGGAGTCCCTAAAGGCATAGAAGAAGAACCTGCTGCTGCTGCTGCTGCTGCAGCAGCAAAACTACCTATTTGCTGCTGCAGCTCTAGGGCTCCATGAGCAGTATGGCGGGATGGCGTCAGCTGCTGCTGCTGCTGCTGCTGCTGCTGCTGCTCTGTGTTGCGGTTCTTGGGTGGGCTTGGGCTGCATGCAGCCCGCACGTGTTCTATCATGTATGCAGCCATAGCCCTGCAGCAGCAGCAACACCAACAACAACAGCAGCAGCAGCAGCAGCATGCAACAGCAGCAGCAGCCACGCCAGTCGGTCAGCAGCACGCGATAAAAGGAGACAGAGGGAGACGAAGAGGAGAAAGAGGAGATAATAAAGGAGACAAAAAAAGGAGACAATAAAAGGAGACAAAAAAGGGAGACAAAAGGAGACAAAAAAAGGAGACAAACCTTGTTGGTGTGTGTTTATGTTTATTAGGAGACAAACCCCAACAAGCATCAGCAGCAAGAAGAGACACAAGATCATCTACATCTAGGCATTTGCTGCTGCTGCTGCTGCTGCTGCTGCTGCTGCTGCTACAACCCTCAGGGCTTCTTGCCTCTGCTGCTGCTGCAGCAGCAGCAGCCTCTGCTGCTGCCTGCGTTTGCTGCAGCGCCGCAGACCCTCGGTGTCGTGCTGCAGATACAACGCACAAGTACAGCAGCAAAAGCAGCAATAGCAGCAGCAGCAGCAGCAGCAGCAGCAGCAGCAGATATGCACAGCTAGTATAGGTATTGACGTGCAGCAAAACTTTGTCTGCTGCAATACTGCATGCAAGAATGCATGCAACAGCAGCAGCAGCAGCAGCAACAGCAGCAGCAGCAGCTGACCACGCCTAATGAAGAGCGACGCCTCAGCATCAAATCCATTCCAAGGAGATGCTGCTGCTGCTCCTGCTGCTCCTGCTGCTGCTGCTGCTCCTGCTGCTGCTCCTGTTGCTGCTGTTGCTGTAGAATATGTAGGAGTGACGGCATCAGCTGTAGCCCTCTCTCTTCTTCCATACCTCTGTCCCCTTTGCTGCTGCTGCTGGTGCTGCTGCTGCGCTTGCCCTTGGTGCTCGCCTTGCTGCTGCTGTTGCTGCTGTTGCTGCTGCTGCTGAAGTATTTTTTCTTCTTTTCTTGCCCTTTGCATCATAAGAAAAGCTTCTTGTACTAATAAATAATGTTGTTGTATATAAGAAGAAGAAGAAGAGAGACAAACACCAATAAAATAACTAAAAGGAATTGATACACATAAACTGTCTCCTAAACTCCTAAAATAACGCTGCAGCAGCAACAGCAGCAGCAGCAGCAGCAGCAGCAGCAGCAGCAGAAACAGCAGCAGCAGCAGTAATAGCAGCACACACACAGGAGGAGTAGCATATGTAGTAAATCGAGCAGTAAATGGTGCAGCAGGAGGAAGTGCAGCACGAACTGTGGAAGGAAAAAGAGCAAGTGCTGCAGCAGCAACTGCAGCAGCAGCAGCAGTAACTGCTGCAGCAGCAGTAGCAGTAACTGCTGCTGCAGCAGCAGCAGCAGGGGCTGTGGTGTGTATATGTTAATACCTGCAGGACGGCGCGAACAAGTCTCTCAAGTTGCATGCGTTGCTGCTGCCTCTCTTGTGGGGTTTGCTTCTCGTGCTGCATCTGCTGGTGCAGTGCAGCAGCAAGCTGCTGCTGCAGCTCCTCTGCCTGCAGCGCACCGCTGCAGCTGCTGTCTAGGAGACGAAAGAGACGCAACCAATTCTGTGTTGCTTCCTCACGCAGCAAGCCAGCCATTATCAGCAGCGCCACCTGCAGCAGCAGCAGCAGCAGCAGCAACAGCAGCAGCAGCAGCAGCAGCAGCAGTAGAGAGGGGAGGTAAGATACGTATAGTTTAGGTGTATAGGGAGGTATGACATGTATGATACATGCATGCATTGATGCTGCCAATACCTTCCTGCTGCTGCTGCTGTTGCTGCAATTGCTGCTGTTGCTGCAGTTGCTGCTGCTGCTGCTGTTGCTGCTGCTGCTGGTGTAGGTATATATA